GGTTAGACGTATTTCCCTATTAGACACAGTTTTCGAGTGAATGTTTCCCTCATCGAGCTTGAGTTCATTTACTCCCCCGTAATGACAGTAACGTCTCACAAATGGTAGAGGAAAGCAGATCGCACGTTATTCAAATGGACGATATTTTAAAATTGGAAGCCATTTGTTAGGAAATTTTTCATTGCTGACTTTGGCTTGCAACTTAAGGGAACATGATTTGATGTCAGCGGTTTCTTTAACGTTCCATCGATTGCATTATTGAGCGTTAACGTTGTTTATTTTCTACAACTTCAGGACCTATTGTTCAACTATTGCAGAACAAAAGCCCTCATCTCTATTAAACCTCTTCTCTGATAGTTGTGCCTTAGCAACTGATAACTGGTAACTCCTGCAGGACCATATTTCAGATTTAACGGAGTACTGTCACGTACGTCCTTTGTCCTAGTTGTCTGACGTGGGGAAGCCATTTAAGCAGGCCGGAGTTTCATGGTGTTTGAGCACCTCCAGTACAAGACGCATCTCGCATCATTATGCTTGCGAGATCTACCTCGCGTTCATTACGAACGATGTTTCAAGAATTAGTGCTCCTCATATGCTGCCGCATAATTATAAAACTGTGTTCGTATGCCAGAATATATCAAATAATGCAGGGCTTCTCCAAGACCAGGTTTCTCGGCGTATTGCACCGTTCTTTTCTCATAGTTATCTATGGAGCCATTCAGTAGGCTACGATTCCGTGTGTTATGTGACGTACTCCATTGTAGTGTACGAACGTAGTTTAATACTTGTTCCTTATCACCAGTATTAACATTGCGCTTCATTGTCGTTTATGCAGAGTTGAGGGTTGTACGTGTTTTGGCCAGGTATCTTGTTATCTGTCCAGTTTCTCAATCCAGCTGCTGAATAAAGGTTCGCACCGTCTGACCTACATGTGCAAGCTACGCCATGACACTCGTTTCTGAAATACGTTGTCAGTACGCAGACGGTATGCGAACAGAGTAGGCTTGTTTTTCTGACAGTAAGTATTAAGCTAAATGAATTATGAGTTGTTGAATAAATAGTTTATAAGTAATTCTAGGATGAGCGTTTTCCTTAAGAAATTTTGCAGCATTCCTATTTCGATTCTTAATCCTCCTTAAGTCATTTTGTATCCGACAGCTTTTCGCCTCATACTGGCAGCAATTTGTTAAACACCGAAAAGAGCGGATAATTTGAAATGAACGAACCAGACATGCAGAATAATTAAAATGATTCTTATCTGCGATTGTTTACGATTTCTGTAAAATTATGTTGTGATATTTGTGATCATTGTGTTTTATCTGTGATTATTTTACTAGTATCCAGCAAATGGGTTCTTACACTAGATTCATGTTCTGGGGTAAACCCGACTTAGCTCCACGCGTCGAACCATAACCGTAATCTCGAACTGGTTTACGCAACATGGTTGAAATGTCAACGATTTGGGCGACATTTCGCATCACACTCTATCCATCGTCAGGAGCCATATCATATCACACGGATTATGGAGTACAGTGATATGAATGAATTTTTCAGTGCACCAGTGTACGTGGATACTGAAGAGACAAAATTCAAATAGCTTTGTTCCTTTGTTCATGCGCATTCATCCAACTGATGAAAATTAAGCATTTAGCAAGACGACGAACTGCTGATGAACGCTGAACTGTTGTGTTGATTTCAGGAAGCAGTCGCCCACCGAGCCGTAGCCAAACAACGCATCGAGACGATAGGTTTTTCAAGAGGCGAGCGTGGAATCGGTCTCAGCATCGTCCAGGCTCAGGTAAACTAAGGTTGCTGGTTCGTTTGTGTATTTCATGATTTCAGAACTTTTTCATGCGTTGCTAATCGTACCATTAGATAATAAATAAGAATAATTTTATTCACTGTAGCTGCTCAGTAATATTGACAGTCATCAGCTTATCGGTTTTGTACTTCCATACTCAGTTCATGTCTATTTGCATTCAGTACATAAGATCGCGAAATTTACATTGCAACAGTTCGGCTCCGAAAGGCTGACGTAACCTGTGTTTGTCGTGCAAGGAGTTTCGAATCTTTGCTGCAGTTGATCGCGCTCCTCAGGAACTATATGTATACTTGCCACGAGTGAAACTGCCGAATATTTGCAAAATGCTTTTCCAGAATGTGTACATACATAAGTAGGTCGCATGCTGGTTGTTTTCGATAGCCACTGGTGAAGAATAGTGTACAGGGTTGAATTTATGTTTAAAAATTGTTTTGGCCAGATAGCTCAATGATACCATAACTGCGTCCTCTATTGAACGTCGTTTTGAAAGGCCAGAAACCTCATGGACCCAAAGAGCTTTGCGAAATCTTTCTGAAGGATGTCGGAAAAAATACACACAGCGCAGGATATTATGGGCATGGCAGAATCGCTCCTCGAGAAAGAGTTACCAACAGCAATTTCGTTACTGACAGGTTTCGATGTCGCCACGCATAATAAGGGACACGACGCGTTCGTTATATATTTGCATACATGTCCAGCATACGTATCCATCTAAGTGTGCTGTTGATCGTAACAGCGAGGTAGTTCACGGTTGAATCAGGTTTAAGCCTTTAACACTAGGATCGAGTTCAATCACAGTCTGGTCGAGCACGTCACTTTTCCTGTCCAGCGTATACCCGATTGATTTCTCTGCATTCACGGTCAGATGCATGCTTGACTGATCAATGTCTTCCGACAGTTATGATGACATGAAGTCTTATTGATTTTGAACGTATGGTACTGCCAAAGACAATGTAGTCTGCGTATTTCACACAGAACTTAGGGGCTGGTTCGGAGCTGCTCTGTCTGTACAATGATACAATGACCAGATCAGTAAAAAGCACAACACTCTCTGCAGCACCCTTGGTGTGTTGTTTGGACGGATGAGAGAACAGATTTGGTTGACACGAAGATACTGTCATCTGTGTGATAGATAACCATCTCATAAGATGAGGATTAATGTTGAGTTTATTGAAGAAAGTACCGTGAGTAGTTGTGGCCTTGATAAAGTGTCAAAGGCATAGAAAAAATCGACCTTGGTTGTGTTTTCAACGTGCCACTCTCCGTGATCCAAGTTATGTGCAGTGTAACCCCCTGAGCATAACAACGCGACTAGTTTGCGTCGCTTGCGCTTATGGATAAATTGATGCGGATCGAAGCAACCGTATTAGACGTAAATGTGGTGAATTTTTCGCGCATATACTTAGAGCAATGACTGGCTTCGATGATAAAGATGAACAATGGCACACTACTATTCTGTTGTAATCCACCTTGCATTGAGTTGATTTTACATAAATATAGGGGGACGTTATCGATTAGTGGCATGTTCGTATAATTAACATTAATGATTCATGGCTCAGGGTAAGTAGTTATCAAGACGATGCCCATTGCCTCTACATACCTTGAAGTTACGTCGACGCACACCAACGTTGCCACAATGTAACGGTAATCTGAGGTTGATACTCTGAGTAAACGAGCTTGTATGTTCGTTACGCAATCGGGTTTTGTTGGTCAATGTAAACAACGATTCGTTGATTAATAGGTCGAGACCTGTCCCCTAGCTGTCGACGCAGCGACATTCTTCGGATTTAACGAGTGTCCAGGGTCGTTCTCCAGAATTCGTCCACTTCTTAACCATATTCATCTTCCATCGCCGCTTTTCCTTTCGGGTCGCGGAGGCAGACGCGTCAGACAGTGCTTCCAACGTTC